GCAGATTAGAAATGCACACACCAACATCTCAGTTTATTAGCAAAAACAATGAGTCTTTCTGCAAGGAACAATATATTCTAAAATGAATGGAGATCTTTTTTAAAAGTTAAAAACTCATTCAATTTAATGTCTTACAGAGCTTATACTGAGTTCAATATTGTATACCTGTATTAATTCAACTGTGAACCTGGAAACTTGCACCCACTTGTGCAAGAGATGTACTCTTGCTCTGGAGTGTGTTACTGAGTATGTTAAAGCTGTAATGAAATGCTTCTTCTAATCATGTAGTTATTAAAAATTTTAAAAAGTGATTAAAAAAATAATAATTCTTGAAAGCATAAAAATTTGCTCCTTAATAATTAGTAGATGTGAAAAACATTACCATTAAATCTACCTGATGTCTTTATATCCATGCTCAGATGCCAAGGTGCTCAGAAAGTAATCGACTGTGACTAGTAATAATCAGATATATAGAGATTAGAAACGCATGTGCAAACATCTTAATGTCAATTGCATTAAAAATGAATTTTTCTGTATGAAACTGCATATTTTAATAATGAACGGGAGATCTTTTTTAAAGGTTAAATCCTCATTTACTTATTTGTCTTATAGGGTTTATACTGAGTTCAATATTGTATAACTATAATAATTCAACTGTAAACCTAAAAATTCACAGCCAATTTTGAAAGTGATGCATCATAGCTCAGGAAATTGTTATTGAATATGTCAATGCTGTTGTAATGAAATGCTTCTTCTAAGTATTGGCTATTAAATAAATAATTAAAAAAGAAATTTGTCAAGCTTACCTAAATGAGCTTGATTTATTGTTTGGTAGTCCTTCAGTTTTATTTTATTTAACTATTAACAAGTAGGATCTACAACATCCCCTGCTTTATGTTTTTCATTTCTGTAATGCCACAGAATGTAGGTATTCTATGATAAAAGTTGTCAGTGACATCTGTTTTCTTCTCAGTTTTGGTTCTGAGTATGATTATGTGGCATTTTTCATTTTGCTTGTGTTTTAGTTTTACATTTGTTTTTCTGTTCCTGATTTTTAATTGAACATATTATTCTTGTCTTTATCAACAGTAAAATATTTGAAAGGAAAAGAGTAGTGCAAATATTTTCCCATCATCAGCACATAGTGATCCTACTACAAAAAAAATTATAACTACATTTAGAATTTCTAGAAATCATTTGCAATGGAATGTTTTACAAGCTTAGGATTTAAAGTTAACTATTGTCATATTAGATAAGGTTAAGGAAATTATTCATCATTATTCAGTAAAAGTTGAATGTCCTCTGTCAACATTAATGAGGATATATTGTTTTTGTGCAGCTAAAGGAAGAATCTGACTTTGCCTTTATGCACTTAACAACAGAACAAAAGATGGGGGAAAAATGGATACTTACCGAAGGCTGAGAATATGAATCCTTTGAAAGTTGTTTTTCCAAGGTATGAAGTTTTTCTTGAAGGTATTTATTTTGTAAGTGTAAATCTTCTACAACAGAATCTCGTGGAAGAGCTTGGTGGGATCTACAAACAAAAATCAGACTCTACATTAGGCAAACCTCACCTTTTTATCAATTTACAGTACTAAAGTACAGAAGAGGAAAAAAAATACTACAGTATGTGTATTAACACTATACTAACTAAAAACTTCAAATTTTCCAAAGTTTCTAAGAAATAAATTAAGACACGGTGGTTATAATATAAAGCAATCATATACTTTATCAAGTATTTACCAAAGGCATCTTTAAACTATTATTTTAAAATGCATTGTAAGTGATTTAGAAACACATTAAGATTTTAAAGAATATGTACTTGTTTAGATAGTAGTATGCAGAATAGGTAAAATACTAATTAAAAAAATATTACATAGTAATTGCCTAATATCTCATTCTCAAAAAAGCTCAAGGATTCAACTAAGCTCCAATGTTCCAAGATAATGTTGTCATATCAAGTCTAAATAGCCTGGCTACAAGACCCTCCAAACACTGGCACAGTCAAATTCATACCAACTTCTAATCTAGGAGTCTTTCTCCACTAGGCAAATACATACATAGACTTCTGCCTTCAATGGAAAATTCACTCTTGCCTCTATATCTTTACCAAGAACATGTCCATACCATGTCCTTCCTCTCTTTCATATCTGGATTTGATTCATAAAATTCAGAAATTCAACCTTCTTGAATCTGGAGAGAAGACAATTAAATCTCCTATAAAGTCTTTTCTCTATTTACATATGGGGAAAAAAAGGAACATTAAAGGTATTAGAAAGATTCAATAGAATTAATAAAATGACTTGATTCTGGTAAAATCTGCAAACACTAATTTAACTAAGTTTTAAACATATATTTAGATCCAGAAAAAGAAGGAAGGGAAAGATCCACGGCTGAGATCCGACTGTAAATGTCAAGAGAAAGAATTCTGTAATCATTTTTAAATCCTTAAGGAAATATTGAAAGATTAAGAAAGAAAGAAGGAAAATGAAAGAGAGAAAAGAAGTAATAATGTAAATAGAAATTTAGAATTCTGGAAGAAGATATGTTAGAAGCTGTGGTAGTTTGAATGAGAACACTTTGTTCCCAGTTAATGGTGCTGTTTTGGGAGGTTTAGCAGGTTCGGTCTTGCTGAAGGACGTTTATCACTGGGGGGATGGGCTCTGAGAGTTCATAGCCCCACTTCCAGTTTACTCTTTCTACTTCTTGTTTGCTATTAAAGATGTGAGCTCTGAGCTTTTGGCGTCTGCCTCCATGCCTGCCACCTGCTGCCATGGCTTTCTACCATGATAGACTTGTATCCCTCTGGAACCATATACCAAAATAAACTCTTTCTTCTCTAAGATGCCTTCATCATGGTATTTTATCAAAGCAACAGTAAACTAACACAGAAGCTCATGAAAATGCTTTTAATGGAATGAGGGATGGGAGAGTATGCTAGAGGAGGGAATATGGAGAGAGCTAACTCAATAGTAATAGTCTTTTGGAAAAGTCATATGGAAACCTACTACTATAGAAGCTTCCTAAAATAAACATGTGTGTGTGTGTGAGAGAGAGAGAGAGAGAGAGAGAGAGAGAGAGAAACAGAGACAGAGAGACAGAGACAGAGAGACAGAGACAGAGACAGAGAGAGAGGAAATGGAGACATAACAGTGGATAATGCCTCCAATAGACACCACAAGCTAACAAATAGAAAGCCCAGTGCCAGGATGTGTTACCTCTTTTGATATCCATTGACCAGGGAGGTCCCACAGACCCTCAAACAATACTGCTTATTGCCATTACTCTTGGTTACTCTCCAGAACTTGACAGTAAGCCCCTCTAGCTGAAGACACTATATACATGAGCTATATAACATGAAGGAATCAAGCTGTCACTGACTTTGAAGCTTCATCTCTACTGGCTAGCTTTCATAATGCTGAAAGGTGCTATGCATGCTACCAGAAGAGAAAATTAATCAGCTATCTTACCCAGATTTGATTCCTATAAGCCTTGACAATAATGACTGGGGCCTGGCAAGATATGCCCACTAGTGCAATAGTGGCAGAAATATTATGGGAGTGACCAAACACTTCCTGATTGGAATTAGGGCCTGCTCCACAAAATGGAACCTGTATTAGGCACTGTTACTTGCACCAAGAACCTGTGGCTAGATATGTCACAGACCCCATGGGAGAACCTACTACTATTACTCTGCAAATAGATATAGTATTAAGTTGACTCCAAAAGACTTACTGTATACCCATGGGTTAGTGCATCTCTTGAACCTCATTGCAGAACCATCTTTTTGTAGTAGATGGCAATAAACACAGCCAGTCACAAATGGTCAACATGCAGAGAGTAAGAAACTGTGGCATACTCAGTCTTGAATGGGACTCCTATATTACACCCTTTCCCCCAAAGCTCAAGGGTCATTATGGAAGCAGGGCTGAAATATTATAAGAGCCATAGGTGATAGATGACTACAGGGAAATGGTTTTCTGGACACAGCAGGGCAGTTGTACATATGAACCCACAGCACATGTGACAGCAGCACAAGATTTGTGCAGGCCCAAGGCAAACAAAATCCCAGCATGGAGTGGGGAGGTGGACATAAAGTCCCATCCCTAGATGAGGAGCTATTGGCAAGTGATAGCTCTGGAAGACCAAGGGTCAGTTTTCATAAGAATGTGACTCCTGGCAAGTTAACCATGCTCCATATGACAGCCCCACACTCAAAGAATATTTGGGCAACACAAATTGGACTTGAAAGAATTTTTTTAAAAAAAGAAGAAAGGAAGTTGGGTGGACAGGGAGGTGGGGGTTTATTTGGGAGGAGTTAGGGGAGAGAGAATGAATGTGATCAAAATTTTATAGATTGTATAAAATTCAGAAATATTTCATAAATTCTCAAAGATTTTACCTTCCTTTATTCACACATTCACATTCACATTCACATTTACATACTTCTGGACATCAGAAAGCAGTATTCTAGGAAACACAGTAAAGTTATGAAGTATCTAAAAATAGATATCTAAAACTGAAAATCTCCTACACACAAAAAGAAATAATCATCAAAATAAAATGACAAAATCTAAAATGGAAGAAAATACATTGAACAAGGAATCAATTTCCAGAATACTTAAGTAGATATTTTTCAAAAGACATACAAAACCAACAGGTTTACCAAAAAAAAAAAAAAAAAAAAAAAAACACACAAAACACAAAAAAAAAACCAAACCCACTATCCTCACTATCGCTAATCAATAGGGAAATACAAACCAAGACTGTATAAGACACCTCACTGGCAGGACAAACAGTAAGAGCTGATGAAGATATGGAGAGAGAACCCTCTGGGAGGTTCTATAGCAATGTAGATTAGAATAGCCATTATGAGAAAATATAAAGTTTCCCAAATAAACTGAAAACAGATTCAGCAATCCAACTGCCAGGCACATAAAAGAAATGAAATCAGTATGTCCAAGAGATATCTCCGCTCCTATGCATATTGCAGGACTATTCTACAAAAGCTCAAAAACAAAACTTAAGTGACCCATCGACTGATGAAAAGATAAAGAAATATGGTATACACACAGATATGCACTCATGTACACACTCACATTTTTATATATATATATACCAGAAGAAAGGAATCAAACTCTGTCATTTGAAACATTGAAGACATTTATAATAAGTGAAATAAGCCAGACACAGAAAGGCAAATGCAGCACAATCTCGCTCATATAGGGAATACAGAAATACAGACTCCAAAGAGTCTGAGGGTAAAGTAGTGTTTTCAAATGGCTGAAACAAAGGCTAGAAAACAGTTCTACTAGGTGACAGAGAAATAAATTCTGGTGTCCGTGTACAATAGCGTGACTGCAGATAACAAACATTTTCTGTATGTCTCAAAAAAAGCCAAGAGAAACAACTCTGAATGCTTTGACCCAACAGAAATGTGAACTGTTTGACGAATAATACATTCTTACCCTGATTTGAACATTAAACAATATATACATGTATTTGAAACAACATAAGGCACCTTATTAGTATATATAATTTTATGTGTCAAATTTTATGAAACAAGTATTAAGGTAATTTTAAAGATGAATAAAAAGTATCACAAATTAATGAAGAATAAACATCTTACATGTATGTATAAGATATTGGGAGAAATAAGTAAAATAGAAAATTATAGTTTTAGGTGTTACTGGGGCATGACTTTATTTTACTTTGACTATGACAATATCAGAAGACAGTTTAGGAAGGCAAAATCTCAAAAGCTTTCCTAAGAAATGATGTGAAGGTGCTGGTAGTTGTGGGGTGGTTCCAGGGGTATACACACCTGCAACATAGTCTATCTTGTCTCTGTCAAACAGAAGAGACAACTGCTTAAGGACTTTGAAAAGCAAATGAAGTTAGATTGGCTAGAATGTCAGAAGGTTAAGTATTGGCCAACAAGCAGTAGTCTACTCTTTCTTCTGTTATTGCAAACAGATTTCAAACCTGAAGATGGCCATGAGCAGAGGAGGAGAATTCTGGGAAGCCTTCTAGTTACAGCTCAGTAAGGAGAAAGGGAACTGCTAAGACTGCAAAAGTGTCTTAGTTTTCAATGACACTTAAGCTCACTTGGCAGAAACTATTTGTTCTCTAGGTTAGCCCATGCCTCAGCCCATAATTGTGGTAGAAGAGTCTGCAATGGGAACCCAAAATAGGTAAGTTGTTGTTTTTGTTTTTTTTTCTCGGTCTTTTTGAGACAGGGTCTCCCTGTAGCCCCAGCTGTCCTGGAACTCACTATGTAGACCAGGCTGGTCTTGAACTCAGAGATCCGCCTGCCTCTGCCTCCCGAGTGCTGGGATTAAAGGCATGTACCATGTCCGGCCAAAATAGGTAACGTTTTAAAAAGAGGGAACCTTCCTGTCCAGTTGTTGGAGCTCTGATATAAAGTACAGCGAAAATAATTTTTCTCCTCTTTTCTGCCCATGTAACTGCTTACTTAGGTACAGATGTGTACAGTTGCTAAAGTGCACAGCGTAAGGGTTTAACTAAAGCCCCAGCTCTCTCCAAAATAACAAAATGGAAAGGCCAAGAGACAGAGGAGAAGGAGCTCAATTGGGGACAATGCAGAGCTCTTTGTGAACTAGAGCTGCATAGCAATGGAAAAGGTCATCAGTAAGCCCCCACTTGAAGGAACCCACAATTGACTGGTACTACAATTCCATACAATAGCATACCTCATATGCAGTATGTCATTCTCTAAGTCAATATTTCTCTTTTTTAATTCTTCCAGCTCTTTTTCTGACTCTAATGCTCGTACTCCTAAAACCTGATCGACAGTCATGCCAGTTGTTTTTAGCTTCCTCTGTAAAGTAAGTTTTTCTTTATCAGCTCTGTGGAATTTAATAAAGAATCATGAAAATATATATTTTACAGTTTCTCTTGTTCAGTTTATTAAACTGCAGCTTGTTATGTCAATATACAATAACTACACCATCTGTGCTTGGTATAAATGTATTTGAAAATCCTAGATAATTCATTCATACTTAAGATATATTCTACCACAATTTGATTAGAATAATATGTGAATCACAAATAACTAGCAAATTTCTCATGTTAATAATGATAAAATTATATAATTTCAAGATCAGTAAATTTTATACATAGTTTTACAATAAAATTTTAACGCACTTGGCAAAAAGATCCTTCAAAGTAGTCAACTGCTTTGTTAGGCTGTAGACTTCTCCCTCTTTCTCTTTTAACTTGTTCCGCATTCCCTCTATTTTGGTTTGCCACTTTTTACCTTCTTCCCACCTAATCAATTCTTCTCTAGCACTCTGTAAAGAGGAACAGCCATGTTAAAAAAATTATCAACATTATTTTAATCTCATTTTTAAAACTTAACTATAATTTTAAACCAATACTTCCAAAAAGAATATGTAGAGAGTTAATATTGCTATATAATTTCTAAAATCTTTAGGTAGGCCAAACTAATGGGGAAAAAATAACCTTCAATTTCTTTAAGTAGGCATTATTTTTTTGAAGTACAATTCTCAGGGAAGACTTTTAGTAATGCCAATACTCTTAGGAACTTGCTAAGTGAAAAGAAAGCTGTGTGATACAGGATATTCCCATAGAGTGAACAAATTTAAAATGTCCTGGTAGGCATTTATACAGTTAAAAATTCTGCTTGTATTGGCTAAAAATTTAACACCATGTACATATTAACACCAAAAATATTTATGTTTCTACTTAAATTGAATTTAGTAAGAATGCAAGGGCCTTTAAAAATTAAGCCTTACAGACATTATTTTGCCAAAATTATACCCATACTTTTTTATCATCTTGAAAATCAAATTAAAAATAGAAATACCATTTATGTCATATGAACTGCCAGGAGAATACAGTTTTAAAAGTTATGCATCAGAATCTGTATTTAGAGGTTAGAATTCGTATTAGTGCTATATAAGGTACAAACACATGACTACATTATTTTCCTAGTGCAATCCATGGCAGGTCATAAACATGGTGGTATATAAATAATATATTAATATTTTCATCAACTTATTTT